ACATATTAAAAGCTGTAAATATGAAAATACTTGTATAGTGTCTCATGACATAAGAAAGTGTATTTTGTACAGTATTGGGAACCTTAACGAAAACAAAACACTAACACCTAGGTATAAAATTTCCTTCTAATTTATGTACAGTACCTTTAAATTTGTATTTAAATATTCGTAAAGATGCATAATTCATTAGTCATGAGGGAAAAAAAATCTAAACAGGTATAAATGTTCCAAATGTTGGCTTTCTCTGTAGTGCAATTGATAACGATTAAAAGCTGTAGAAATCATTACTTTAACCTGACATTATATTACAACTACTGTTTGCCAGATCTAATCATCAGCAAGAAGCTAAAAGTCGACTACAAATTCATATATTATTCACTGAAACATTGTTACAATAAACAATAAAATTAAATATGTGGCTCACATCACTGTAATTCACTGATTCTATTCTTAAGTCAGCCAATGTCTTATTCAGTACTTCATCCTCCATTGTTGATTGTTTGTTTGTTTCATCGAGGACAGTCAGGTCCACAAAATCAGATACTACTTTCACAGCAGGAGAGTTGTACAAACTGATATCTTGGATTTCTTTTTCTTCCTCAGAAGTTTTTGTTGGTGACAGATCTTTCTGTGGGCTATCTATATTCACCTTATCATCTGGGCAGTTATTGGAGTTTAAGGCTACAGTGTCATTCTCAGAGGTTGTAGACCTTGCGAGATCAGTTGGCAACCTTGCACTGGTGGAATTAGTCAAATCTATGACATCAGGAAACAATGGAGGATTATACCGATCTGCAAAGAAAAAATAATGTTCAACACAAATAAAATATAATTCAAGCAAAAAACAAGTCTATAGCCATTTCTAAGAGCAATACAATGAGTTACACATAGTAACTAGATTTTGACTGTGAGTATATCATAAAAAGAATACTCTGATTTCTGTTAGATAAAAATAGTATTCCATGAATCTGTTATAAAATACAAGAAGTAGAAATAATCAGAGTAAGACAAAGAAGTTACAAATTTCGCAGTGGAATAATTCAGGACAGAAAAATTAACTGTTTCAATTAAGGCCTATAGTAGCCATTTAGCATCCCAAAAATTATGAAATGTCCACAGGGAGATAATTTAAGAAATTTGTTTTTTTTTAGTATGCTTTACTGCTATTTCATAAACTCATTTTTAGGTGTCTGAATGATATATCCTTCACATAATTATGGTCTTGTTCATCAAAACAATGGTTTATTCATAAAATAACTTGATTCAACTTCTCCTAAACTATAAATTACCTGGAACATAGGACTTCTTTGATGAAATCAAGGGGACAGAAAAAGGCCGAGCATATCTTTTGGCTTCACTGTTTTCTTTGAGAATTTGGCTGGATTCTATCTGTACTAATTGTTGAGCCATTTCTACCTGCAATTTCAATAGAAGTTTTAATAATAGCTGCAATTGATGCATTTTTCATGTTTGATAGAATTACAATGATGATAAAAAAAATAGCTACATTCCACATAGTTCAATTTTATTAAATGTCTAAAAGACAAAAAATTGAGTTGTTTAAGAAAAAGCATGGAAAAGATGTATACAAATGCACAAGTGTATTGAAAGCTGCACAATCAGATCAAAGTGCAAACATATCTATTCTCCTAAAGGCCTATTTGGAAACTTTCAAAATGTCCAAGTTCAAGATGTGATTCTTCGTGCGACTGTCTTTAAAAACTCAAAATGTAAACTATAGAGTCAACTTTTAATCATATTATTAATTTTGATGGAGATTTTTTACGAGTTTGTACATTCAAACATGCAACAACATGATTATTTAAAGTTTGAAAATGATCCAATTGAGAGCAACTCCATTATTAAAAGAAGAAAGATCCATATTAAATTGTAAATAGAATGTGACTTTTTTTCTCTTTATGTACAGGTACAATTAATTAAAAATAGAAGCTACAAAAATGAAATACTAAAGTCAGAACAGGGGAGTTATGAGGAAAATCAGGTTAAGTGAGTCAGAAACTGGTGATTTGGAAAACAAATTAACAGGTAAAGTAAAGAAAATACGAGTTACATGAAAATGATAAAGAACCTAATTACATGTAAATACCTTCTGTTTAATGAATTCTTCTCCTATCTTTCCATCATCCTGATCTTCTTCTGTTTTGGTGCTTTCATGGGAGAACATGCGATCATGATCACTTATTCCAAAAATATCAAGAGAATATAGAAATGCAATGTGAGAGTCTAGTTGCGTGTCTGTTACACGCTGGTGAGCATGCATTTCTTGCAGTTGTAACTGGGTTGAAGAATGTCGAGGATTGTCCAAGGTGAACAATTCTCGCAGTTCTTGTCTTGTGAAATACCTGCTCCAAAAATATAGTAAGCATCTTTAAAGTATCTACTCATCCCACACTTAAAATAATTTGATTTTAACTTTTACAGCGGAATTTAGAAAAATGTGAAGAACTACGGCAATAAAATAGTACCTAAACCTAAAAATAAATATTAGTTCTGACACAAGTAACTTTTTGAACTAAGTCAAACAAGCTAAATCTTTTACTACAAAGAAGATTGTCAACAGATCTGGCATGTCAAAAACTTACTTTTCTTCTTTTATACAACTCAAGGAAGGAAATATTTTACAGCAACTAGTTCAACAGTGTCAAAACTTAAATTTAGGCATTGTTACACATCCTGAAAATAAAATACCTGTGTGGATCTTTGTTACCTCCTGTCGTTTGTCTGGTGATAGAATCTTTAAAAATCTGACGACGATAAATTTTTTCTTCCACTGTTCCACACGTAATGAGTCTGTAGATCACAACTGAACTTCTCTGTCCTATTCTGTACACCCTATCAACAGCTTGAGCATCAGTTGCTGGGTTCCAACTTGGATCATCTAAGATAATTAGAACATGTTTTGTGTACAGTAGCTGTAAGAGAACATCTTTAAAATGTAATGACATATAGAGATCAGTAACTAATACATTTCTGTACATTATGTATGATACTACTATTAACACAAAAACGTTCTGCAGAAGTTTCTTCACACGTAATATTGGATGTTTAATATAGTGAAACTATAAAACATTTTTCACAGAAAAGATGAAGTACAACAGGCATATGCGCAGGAAAATTTTAATGGAATAAAAAACTGACCAAGAAAATCAATTTCAAATCAAACCATTCTACACATTTGTAAGTGTAAAACAAAGTAAATGTTTTTCAGGTTCTATCAAAGCTTCCTATCCTCAGCAGTTCATTTAGTTTGAAACATTAAAATATATATAAATATGAAAGCAAACACACTACCAACATAGTACTCTTATCCTTATAGGTTCAAGTTAATTTCTAAAACCACTTACATATAATCACCCTGTTGGCTGCAGTCAATGTGAGACCAACTCCACCAACCTGCAAATTCAAACTTATTTCATTAGCTAATATCTGTTTGTCCTAAGATTGGTCATTTTAATACATACACTGACAGGTTAAGTTGCTTATTATTCACTATTATAATATACCTTTTGATATAGCATTAATACAATGTTCACTCCCCAATAACATTTCTTGATTTAACTTCATCTAGTAACAAATAACAAAATAAACATGAGTTTAGAAAACATTATACTAAACACCAGGTTTTAGTATGATAATAAAACAAAAAACAAATAAAAGATAAAATACCAGTTTTTCCTCACAATTAAGAAGGCTAATGTTGAAGTATATCTAGCATTTTAAGGGTTGATATATGAACAAGTTAGATGCATCAAAGCAGGTCAAAGAATAATGTAATTTTAACACTTAAGACTTAAAAGAACACAGTATACCTGTGTGGTCAAAAGAAATACTGAAAAAGATGGGTCTTCTTGGAAAGTCTGGATTTTCTTTTCTCTTTCTACAAGACTGGTGACTGTCCCATCTATTCTCATTACTTTCCATTCTCTGTATATAAATATTAAAATTCATGAAACATTTATCCAAAAAAGGTATATTGATATTTAATATACTTATCTGTTAGTGGATTCAAGAACAAAAAATAAAACCGAGATAATGGTAATAAAAGAATCCTTAACACACCTGTAAGGTATTTTTTAAATGAGACTTAAATCACTTTTCAAGAAACACCTGGTGTCACAAGTAGATTCATATCCATACAAATTCTCACCAAATTTAAAAATTACATGTAAAAAAGAAAAGAAAAAGGTTAAGCCTCATTCTAAACAAGTACGATTATTTCTGTAGATATAAAAGTCAAATTATTTCTAGATAAACCATTCTTTGCATTAATAGTTGTAATAGTTCTCTTACATAACAGTAAAAACAATAAAAAAGTACAAATAACTATATCATTAAAACATACAGAATGGATTAAAAAATATTTTTGATAAACTGTGTAATGCATTGAATTGTGTGTTGGAATTAAATTTCTAAATTTTATAGTTATTCAAAGAATTTAATAAGTCATTCAAAACAACACAAATCCATTTTCAGTATAAACTTGTAGTACTATTAAAATGATGTGATAGAGGGAGCAGGCAAATCTATGTAAATGTGAGTGAAAAAAAAAAAAACTACTCCAAAGACTGAATGTGAAATGAAATGCTAGAAATAAACAAGGAAACAAAAATAAAATAAAATTGTACAGCTGAACTTTCCAAATCTCTTAATTTTCTTGTAACAACAGTTTCATTCAAGTTTAGTTCTGTACATACTGTTCTAGGTTATAAAGAGCTAAACTCCAGAAATCAAGGTAGACCACTGACACTTTACATACCTATTGGTGAGAATTCGCTGGATAATGTCAAGAATCTTTCTTGACTGAGAGAATACCAAAGTGCGATGACCTTCTTCTCTGAGCTGGTTCAGCAGTGAAAGAAGAAAACCTAGCTTTCCAGATTCTTCAATTAGATCATCATCAGAAACTCCATCAATTGACATAGTGGTAGTTCTCTCATCTTCTAAAATACTTCCATACTCTTCCTCACTAGGAAATAAGCTTTAAATTTAATTTCATCTAACATCAGATACGTAACATAGTTTTGCCAGGTACAATATTATACTCACAACAACTTCACTGGAAATCAAAGTGAAAGAACCACCTATTATATTTACATGTTAAACATAAAAATTATACTTTTACATTATCAGTTATAAAACATTTTTGCAAAATTGAAAATATATCAACTTAGTTTTATTTTTAAACTCAAAGGCAAAAGTAACCATTTGGCAATATTTGATTGTTAACATTTATAATGTATAACAAATACAAAATCTGTCTTTTGAAACATTAAACTCTAGATTTCGTTATTGTAATACTTATGTAGTTTATTCTACACACACAATACAAGTGATTGGCGACATTCTTTAAGTGCTTTTAATTTAATAACATCAACTTGATTTATTTAATCAAATCATTACCTCTAACCTTTAAAATGACTGTTAACAGTTCATTATCTACACAACCTTTTAACCTTTTCGAGATGGGTCACAGGTAAAAGTCCATGTCATCTTGTTTGTTGACTCGCATTCAAAATTCTATTGAACTACTATTTCATGAATTTATGTCAATAACTGGTATCAAACTGTAGATTATAATTCAAATTATAGTACTATGCAAAAAAAAAAAAAAAAAA